GCAGGAAAGCATGGTGGATTCCCAACGCCATACACAGAGATATTTCCAGGCCCCATGGTGCACTACATGGCAGATTTAGCTTTTACCCAGATGAAAAGGGTTTATGTGCTACACGGTGCTTTCCAGAGTTGAAGTGGTGAGCAGTCCCAGAGCTGGTGGTAAATATACCTCTGCCATACTGAAAGGCCAAGAGAGGTGGAGCCAACATCCAGGACTGCTGCAACCACATTTCTTACCATTTTTCCTTGTCAGATACACAGTAGGACAGATTCAGACATAAAACACCTCTAAACGAGACACAGTGTGTTTAAAAATGTACATAGACTTAGGAGAAAGAGGAAAAAGAATATAGACAGTTATAAAAAAAAAGTAAAGTCTATAAAGAGACAGTAAAAGTAATATAAAAGAGTACAGACAGTCATAGATTAAAAGAGTAAAGAAAAATAAGCCATGTAAAGATGGAAAACACACAGAGAGTCTGGATTATGTATATTATTGTGTTCTTTGAATTTTTTAACTACAGAGAGATATTTGTTTCTGAGGGCTGTTAAATTAAACCCACATAAAGGTATCTTGACTTCAAAATTTGTGTCTAAGGATATTTTGCTTTGGAAAAGAGATTCTGCTTTTGTTTCCACAGAAGATGAGAACCTGTAGATTCCTTCCAGGCTAATGTGGTTTGATGGAACAAGACCCCCAAAAGTTCTTCATGAATCCTAAAAGTACTTCAATCAACAAAAAGCAGGAAGCAGTTTAGATAAAACAACGCCAAAATTCCCAAAAATGATTATTTATAAATGCTATTTTCACTCTAAAAGGGTTGATTATAAGTGATTAATGGGCACAGTCAATTTCTAAAAAAATAAATAAGGAATATATGATATAGAGATGAATACTTTGTATTGGTATGGACCTCGGTCTATTGATACAAATTTAAGGTCTATTTGTTACACTGTGTATATGCATTTCTGCTCTGTTTGAGGTAGTAAGTTTGTGCATCTTATTTTAAAATGTAATGTGTAGTTAAGAAATACAGATTAATAGATAGTCATCTATAATTGTCGAATTGTAGCTATTTTAGTTAGATTTTCTAGATGTACAGATATATTCCAGGTAGATAGGCATTCTTTAAATCTTTCAAACACCTACAGAATATGGCATTTTAAATGTTTTAAGAATTTAGACTTTTTTCGACAGTGAGACATGTCTGCTTCTGGAAGCACCAATTTCTTCAGAGAGGTTAATGGGTATCAAAGGAACTTGCTATGGAATTTACCTTCAATGTGACAAGGCTAGCCATTTGGGCAAGAAACTGCTCTTGCCTGAACTGCTTAACAGTATGCTGTATATAAACTGGGTATGCCCACAGAAAAATAACTGCTAAACTTGCCTAAAGAAGGTGAGACAATCCTTCAGGGTTTCTACTTCATGAAAGAATCTGCCAGACATTCTGTAGAATACATAAGAAAGTAACTGACAAATTGCCAATATAGGCAAAGCAGTCTTTCAAATTCTCTGCTTCATGGAAAAGTCTGACAGATACTATGGCCAAAGACTGAAGATGGATGCTCTAACATTACAGAAGAACTTTGGGTGACTATTCAAGCGGTGAGATGTCTCTATAAGTTCTAGAGTTTTGGAAGTTGCTTACAATGCACTTTCTGCTTGCTTAGGTAATATTATATCTTTCTAGGATCTTTGATGGAGTTGAAGAATAGATAGTTATAATTATATATATTATATATATGTATATATATAGTTATAATAAAGGATATATTAAACATAAAACTTTAGGCTCACAAAGATAGGATTGATGATAGAGTATTTTTCTTAATTTGCCAAATGTAAATGAACTAAATATTGTAACTATAATTCTTGCTTGATAACTGTTTTCTGTATGTAATTTTATTATGTTAAAGTTAAAACCTTCCTTTTTATTTAGACAGAAAAGGGAGATGATGTGGGATGTTTGGTGTGGGAGAATTATCTGTATTCTGTCAATCATGTATTTTAATAAAACGCTGATTGGCCAGGCAGGAAGTATAGGCAGGTCAACCAGACAGGAAGTAGAGACGGGGCAATGAGAATAGAAGTATTCCAGGAAGGAGGAAGTTCCTCCGCCATTCCTGCCCAGATCACTGAAGAAGCAACATGTAAGCTGCCCCCGCTGGAAAAGGTACTGAGCCATTATAGCTAACACAGATAATGATAATGGATTAATATAAGTTACAAGGACTAATAAGAAGCCTGACCTAATGGACCAATCAGTTTTATAATCTTATGGAGTCTTGTGTGTGATTTTCTTTGTTGCTTGCCGGTTGTGGGGTACTGGGAGGGACAGAAACCCCAACAAGCTGGCCCCTCATGTTACAGATGGTGCCCACATGGATAACTGAATCCGCGGAAAGCCTGAGAAAGCTTGGGAAAGAATAGAGTAAAGCATGGTTTCTTGGTCGCAGCAATTTCTCGGGTCTGCTCTGGTTGCTAGAGGCAAGCAAGTGCTCTCATCTAAGAGAGGCTTCCTGACTCAGTTTTAGCTGCAAAACCCTGTAGCTCATTAAGAGGTCCTGCCACGAAACACTTAAACGGTGTTGATGAAAAGTTGAAGGCATGCTTTTCGGTTTTCAGCCGTAGCAGGAAAAAAGCTGCACTGTTTTAAAATGCCGGCTTTCTGGGCTGTTCTGCCAGGACAAACTCTGACTCTTGCAGGCAGGCAGTCCAACTGAGTGTAGTCTGTGAGCAGAATGCTGCAGCTTGCTTGCTGGCAGGGACCTTGAACTGGCACAGATATGTAGCGATGAAAATGGCTCCAGTAGTACCTCTGCCACGAGGCTGGAAAGCTAAGAAATGGGCTAGATCCAGCCATCAAAGCCACGGCTTTCATCCTCTCCTTAAAGACTCCTATAGTCAGAAAAAGAGAGATATATAGTAAAAGAAAGATTCAAAGTTGAAGAAAACCTCTAAATGGTTTACAGTGTGTTAAAAATATATGCAGGCTGAAAGTTAAAGTTCTTAAAGTTAAAAGGAAAGAAAGAGAGTAGTTGGGTGTGGTGGTACACACCTTTAATCCCAATGCCTGAGAGGCAGAGGCATATTGACCGCTGTGACTTCAAGGGGTAGAGGTAGATTGACCTCTGTGACTTCAAGGTGTGGTAGTGCACACCTTTAATCCCAATGCCTGGGAGGCAGGGACAGACAGACCTCTGTGAGTTCAAGATGTGGTAGCACACACCTTTAATCCCAGCACTGGGGAGGTAGAAGGATCTCTGTGAGTTCAAGGACAGCCTGGTCTACAGAGTTATTCCAGGACAAAGATATACAGAGATCCTGTCTCAAAAAGTAAAAGTAAAAATAGAAGAAATAGAGGTTAAAATAAAGATGGAAAATATACAAAGAATCTTGATACTGTATGCTATTATGCTCTCTTTGAATTGTTTGAATGCTGAGGAAGGAGCAACAGCTGCTAAAAGACTTTTGTTTATAAATGCTGCTGAACTAACCCAAGATAGGCATTTTGAAAATACCTTGGCTTCAAAACTGAAGTCAAAAGGTATGTTACTTTGGAGAAGAGATTTTCTTTTTGTTTCCACAGAAAATGAGAGGCAGTAGATTCATTCTGAGCTAAGAAAAATCAGATTTGATCAAGGAAGACCACCCGAGAAATCTCCAGTAGGAAAAGATGACCCAGATGTCTGAGTTCTACATCCAGAACAGATTCAAGACTGCTGCCTGAGATGATCAAGATTCACAGGATACTCCAATCAGGACATGAATATAACTCTAAATTTTCTTTAGGTCCCCATAAGATCATCAGTGCCCCAACCAGCAGGAAGTAGCCTGGAATACTACACCCACATTCCCAAAAAAATGGACTATGGATAAGGGGAAATGGTGTGGGAGAATTATCTGTATTCTGTCAATCATGTATTTTAATAAAACGCTGATTGGCCAGGCAGGAAGTATAGACAGGTCAACCAGACAGGAAGTAGAGGCGGGGCAATGAGAATAGAAGTATTCCAGGAAGGAGGAAGTCCCTCTGCCATTCCTGCCCAGATCACTGAAGAAGTAACATGTAAGCTGCCCCCGCTGGAAAAGGTACTGAGCCATTATAGCTAACACAGATAATGATAATGGATTAATATAAGTTACAGGGACTAATAAGAAGCCTGACCTAATGGGCCAATCAGTTTTAAAATCTTATGGAGTCTTGTGTGTGATTTTCTTTGTTGCTTGCCGGTTGTGGGGTACTGGGAGGGACAGAAACCCCAACAAGTTGGCCCCTCATGTTGCAGATGTTCTTCTGTATATGTGTTGCTTTTATTGGTTAATGAATAAAGCTACTTTGGCCTATGGCAGAGCAGAACATAGCCAGGAGGAGAGAGGGGAAGTAAGCGGAGTCAGAGAGATACCATGTAGTTGCCAAAGGAGAAAGACACTCAGAACATTTACAGGTAAAACATAGTCTTGTGGCAACACACAGATTAATAGAAATGGGTTAATTCAAGATGTAAGAGCTAGCTAGAAATATGCCTGAGTCATTGGCCAAACAGTGTTGTAATTAATATAACTTCTGTGTGATTATTCTGGTCTGGGCGGCTGAGAAACAAAAAGCAATCTCTGCCTACACCACAGTATTGTGGAAACCAAGGTCTCTCATACTTGGCTCCATATCTTTTGTTCCTCTGAGGGAGGGCTGTTTCTTTCAACAGAGCAAAGCCATTAACTTTGCTAAGATATCATGACCTTTAGGAAACACCTAGCAGGGGCTGGAGAGATGGCTGAATGCTCAGTTCAGAGCACTGGCTGCTCTTCCAGACGTTGGCTCGATTCCCAGCACCCACCTGAAGGCTCACAATCACCTGCATCCCCAGTTTCCGTGCATCTGATGACCTCTTCTGGCCTATGCAGGCACACATGGGGTGCACAGTCATGCATGTAAGCAAAATACCCAGATGGCTTACAAAATAAAGTCAAATAAAAGATTTTAAGTTAAGAAAAAAATAGGAAAAGCAAAAAACAAATACTCAGCAGTGAGTTTGGAGATGGAATTAATCAACACTGTAGTAAATTCGGGAATACCTTGGGTTTTGCTCGGATCTTTTTCTAAATTTAGTTAGGATTTCATAATAGTGCCATAAGATTAGGCAAACTAGCCAGCAGCCTGTGTAGAAACCAGAGTCACACCCACAACTACGCAGGAGCCACCCTGAGGAAGGAGCCAGTACTCCAGGTCAGCGCGGAGGAAAGGAAAACCTTTTAAATTGCTTTTCCTCTGTAGGCTTCTCACATCCTCAGTTCAGAGAAGAAAGCAGAACTCAGCCAGGCGTGATGGTACGTGGTGGCATGCAGTGGCACACGCCTGCAGTCCCAGAACATGGGAAGTGAAGGCAGGAGGGTGAGCCATTTCCTGAGACCGTGTCTGAAAAAGAAAAACAGAACATTTTTGTGAGGCAGGAGGACTGCAGCTCTGGATTTGGGTGGGAAATGGTTCTCCCCCCGCAAGCCAACTCCTATTCAGCTAAGCAGTTCCTTCCAGGAGGATGTGGGCAAAAACTCACAAGACTTTATGATGTCCCAGTCACCCATCCTAAGACGTCACTGCACGAATCAACAAAGCCTCTTGCTGCTCTGAACAGAAATAGTTTGCAGAGAGGCTCTGGTGTATCACAGGAGGCAGCCAAGAGCGTTTCAAAGTCAACTCTGACCTGCAGGAAATGAGCCATAAACCTGTGGGGTTCCCAACAGGATGATCCTCTAAGTCAAAGCAGGAATCTGGGCTCCTCTGAGAAAACACCAACTTGATGTCCATCAGGAAACCCGCACAGTGTGGACCTAACACAGCTGGCTTCAAGGGTGCCGAGGTACCACGGAGACCTGTTTCCAGGGCTGGTGAGACGGCTGAGTGGACAAAGCCGTGCAGGTCTGATGACATGGCTCAATTCCTAGAACACACAGCGGAAGGAGAGAATGGATTCCCACACGCTGTCCTCTGACCCCCACACACACCCTGTGGGGTGTGCACGCACGATCAATTATTGAATGTATTTTTAAAAATCAATTTTTCCAACTCCAGTAGGGCCACTGAAAGCAGACCACGCACCAAGTGTGCCTCAGCATCCCCAGCGCTTCCTGTGATTAACTGAGATCTGCTAAGTGTCCCCAGGTTGTTCCCAGCCTGGCCAGCATGTCCTCTTCCCTTCTTCCTCTGGAAATGTCCCTCCCTCCTTGGCAGGAGACTTGTTTTGTTTTGGTTTAGTTTGGCTTGTTATCAAGACAGGGCTTCTTTGTGTAGCCCTGAAACTCACTGTGTACACCAGGCTGGCCTTGAACACCCAGAGATTTACCTGCTACTGCTTCCCAAGTGCTGGGATTAAAGGCACGTGCCCTCTTGCCCTCCTGTATCCGTCTCATTTAAATTAAGCACTGTGACTATATCCTGAACCACTCAAAGCCCAGAAGAACACACCCTTTGAGCTGCATTTGTGGGTAGTTTGTTGTATTTTTTCCAGGAGTCAAAAATTCTCGAACTGGTGCGGAACAAACATAGACAACTACTGGAAAAACATTCTAGGAATGAGGAACAGAACGTGCAAAGGCACACAGTACAGAGAGAACATCACGTCTTGGCAGAACAAGAAATCAGTATGATCAGAACAAAGGTCTGGATGTGGACAGCAAACTTGGAGCGGGAGGCAAGACTATGAATTATTATTAAGTTTTCTGCTTTGTCTGGTTGAGAACACACCCTCCTCCAGCCTGTCCCTTAAGATGGTTCTGGCTCTGCTCCTGGCTCATTCCTTTGCACCCATCTTACTCAGCTGTAAACAACAGGGCAGATCTGTCATCTCTGGCACCCTGCTGGGACGGTTCTAGCTCCCTCGGTCTTCCCCAGTCTTCTGCTCTGTCTCAACTCAGGGACCTCCACAGGTCTGCCTTCCCTTTCCGCTAGGCCTTGTAAAGCTCCTGCAGTCACTAAGCATAGACAATCGAAAGATTCCTCCTATCTGCCCCCTACCTCTGGAAAATCGCTCTCTAATTGTGTTTAACAGCTGGAAACTGTTGTTTCACGTGATAGAAAGACAAGTCTGGCCTCTGTGCGCCGCCCTGACACCCGCGTCCCCACAGCCGCTAAAGCTGCTAGTGCTGCACTCAGCTCCCTGCTCTCAGAATGCAGAATGCGTGACGTGGCTTCCAACCAGGCTCAAGACAAAGTTTCCTGTATTGGATGTGTTCTGGAATTCATTTGCCGATCGCTTGTGCTGTGATTCGAGAGCCTTCGTCGTATCAGAAAAGGAGGGCAGTGTTAGTCCACAGCACGCAGCGTCAGTATCTGCAAATATCACAGTCAAACACCTTTGGCAAGCAGGGCTTCTGCACACCGAGCAGCTACGGTCATTGAATGTGACTTTGGAAATAAAGAATGTGAGGGCTGTGGGGTATGTGGGTTTCCTCTGGGTGTGTTAGAGAACTTAGCAAAAGCCTGTGATGAAGCCAGAGCTTCAAGGTACATGGACAGAATGCAAGAAAACATGGGGTCTTAAGGGAATGAACCCAGGCTGGTGTCAAACTTGCAATCCTTCTGCCTCCGCCTCAAAGGCTGGTATCTCAGATGTGCACCATTGTGCTTAGCCGGGATTTTATTTCTTATAATGCAAAGTCTAGATTTCTGAAAACCCCAAACCAGAATCTGCTCTTGTGGGTGACCAAACTACATATAAATTAAATTCACCTCTTTTTCAGCGTGACTGAGAGATCGTATTGGTGGTAAAGAAACGATGGATTATGAGGTTATAAGATTATGATGGGAATGTTGGGTAAATTTCAACGCTTTCAATCCCCAAATTGTACCAGTCAGTGTTCCGTCACCAACAAAAACAGCCCTTCCACCCATTGAAGATGGCAGCTAAGGCAGGTATGGTGCACTGGGGAGGCAGCAGCAGATCTCCACTAGCCCGGTCTACAGAGTGAGTTCCAAGACAGCCAGAGCTGCACAGAAAGACCTTGTCTCAAAAAAAAAAGGGGGGGGGGG